ATGCCCCCCCAAGCCCCCTCAAATTCCCCCCAGACCCTCCAAATCCCCTGTGACCCCCCCAAATCCCACCCCTCCCCCAGACCCCTCAAACCCACCTTGCTGGCAAAGCGCAGGGAATTGAGGGATTCCCCAAAATTCTCCTCCAGGGGGGAAATGGTTACGAACATCAACCTGGGGGGAAAGGGGGTTAAATTTGGGGGAGTCTGGGGGTTCCCCAAAATCCTGGAGTCTCAAAACCCCCTCAGGACACCCCAAAACACCCCAAATTTGGGGATTTGGGGGAGATTTGGGGAGGTTTAGGGGGAGATTTGGGGAGGATTTGGGGGTTCAGCGGGGAATTCGGGGGAAATTTTGGGATTTAGGAGAGATTTGGGGGAAATTTGGGCTTTGGGAGGGTAATTCAGGGGTGGAATTTCAGGATTCAGGGGTGGGAATTTGGGGATCCAGGATGGGAATTTGGGATGCGGGGTGGGAATTTCGGAGCTGGCCACTCACACCTTGGCGTTGCCACCGAGGCAGTTCTGGAGCAGGAAGGTAAGTTTGCTGTTCCTGTAGGGAACGTGCTGCTCCTGCCGGGAATTCCAGGGGCTCAGGGAGCTCCAGTCCCACTTTTCCAGCTCCTCTCCCACTTCTCCCACCCCAATCCCACTTTTCCCATTTCAATTCCCCGTTGCCCCCCATTTTCCCACCTCCAAAGCCACTTTTCCCACCCCCATTCCATTTTTCCAACTTATTCCACTTTTCTCATCCTAATTCCTATCTCTTATCCCACTTTTCCCATGCCACTTCCCACTTTTCCTATCCCAACTCCCCATTTTTTCCACCTCCAATCCTGCTTTTCCCATCCCAATTCCTCATTTTTCCAATTTACTCCCATTTTCCCATACTAATTCCCCATTTTCCTTTTCCCATCCCACTTCCCATCTCTTGTCCCACTTTTCCCATTCCTATTCCCCATTTTTTTACCTCCAATCCCATTTTTCACCCTCCAATCCCATTTTTATCATTTCTTATCCCATTTTCCCCATCCCAATTCCCACTTTTCCCAGCCCTCAGCTTCCCCAAATCCCTTCCCAACATTCTCCCAAACCCCTTCCGTTCCCCCCAGATTTTTGGGATCCCCCGAATTTTTCTGTTCCCCCAGAATTCCAGGAATTGCCCCCCTCAAATTCTTGGAATCTTCCCTTTTCCCTCAGCTCCTGCTTCCCCAAATTTCCCCTCAAAATTCCCCCAAGCCCCTCCCTCTTTGCGCCAACATTTTTTGGGACTCCCTGGAATTCCAGAAATTCTGGGAATTCCCAGAATCCGGGGAATTGTGTTACCTTGTTGCACAGGGCGGTGATGACAAGCCCCAGGGCGCTGAGGCTGGAATTGATGGATTGGGTTTCCCGGAGCCGATTCCCAACTGATCCCGACTTTTCCAGCCGCTCCGAGCCTGCCAGGTCCACCAGGGTCAGGGAGGCTGGGAATGGGAATGCAGAGAATGAGGCATTGGGGCAGGAAATGTGGGATAAGGGGCAGGAAATGTGGGAATGGAGAATCTGGGATTGGGGCTCGGAAATGTAGGATAAGGGGCAGAAAATGCAGAATTTGCATTAGGAAATCCAGGATTGGAATTGGTAAATGTGGGATTGGGGTTGGGAAATCCGGGCTGGGGTTTGAGAAATGTGGGATTAGGAAATCTGGAATTAGGGATGGAAAATGATGGATTGGGATTGGGAAATGCAGGATGGGGGCTGGGAAATGTGGGATAAGGGGCATGAAATCCAATCTTGGGGTTGGGAAATCTGGGCTAGGGGTTGAGAAATGTGGGATTGGGGCTGGAAAATGACAGATTGGGGCTGGGAAATCTGGAATGGGGTTGAGAAATGTGGGATTGGGGCTGGGAAATGTGGGATAAGGGACAGGAAATGTGGGATTGCAAAATGTGAGAATGGGAAATGCAGGATAAGGGGCAGGAAATGAGGGATTTGGGGCAGGAAATGTGGGATGGGGGTTGGGAAATGTGGTATTGGGGCTGAAAAATCTGGGGTAAGGGTTGGGAAACGAGGGATTGGGGGCTGGGAAATCTGGGATAGGGGGCAGGAAATCTAGGATTGTGATTGGGAAATGATGGATTGGGGTTGGGAAATGTGAGAATGGGAAGTGCAGGGATGGGGGGCCCTCACAGGCACAGCGCAGGTCCCGCGCCCGCTGCTCCCCCCGGATGCGCAGCTGGAACACGGAGTGGCTGCGGGACGAGCGGTTGTTGAGCCCTGTCTGAGCCACCGAGCGCTGCGAACTTGCCCTTTGCAGCAGCTCCAGCACCTGCAACCAACCAAACACCCCCAAAACGGGAAAATCATCCTAAACTCGGGATAAAACACCCCAAAACATGGAGAAAACACCCCCAAATGGGGAGAAATTATCCCAAAGCATGGAGAAAACACCCCAAACCCAGCAGAAATTAGCACAAATATGGAGAAAACAGCACAAAATCCATGAATTTTCCAAATTCCCCCCTGAAATCCTCTCAAAATTCCCAAATTCTCCCCCAAATTCCCTCCCAAATCCCCAAGTCCCATCTAAATCCCCACAAGAATTCCCAAACTCTCTCAAATCCTAGGAATTCTGTGTTTCCTACCCCCTCCTCTCTATCACCCAGGTGAGGTTGGGCACGTGCAGCTCCAAATTGCCCCCCGAAATCCCCTCAGAACTCCCCAAATTCCCTTGGAATCCCCAATTTCCTGAGGAAATTCACCCCAAGAGTCTCAAATTTCCCCCTCAGAATTCCAAAACTGCCTCAAATCCCACGAATTCCATGTCCCCACCTCCTCCTCTCTTTATCAGCTTGGGAGGTTGGACACGTGCAGCTTTAAATTCCCTCAGAAACTCAGAAATCCCCTCAGAACTCCCAAATTTCCCCCCAGATCCCCAAGTCCCACCTAAATCCCCCCCCGAATTCCCAAAGCCTTCCAAATCCTGGGAGTTCCGTGCGTTCCCCACCTCCTCCTCAGTCTTCACGGGCACCCAGGTGAGGTTGGGCACATGCAGCTCGTCGCTGTCAGGGCTGACCCGCCGGATGTCCAGGTCAGCCGCGCGCTGCCCTTTGCCGAGCAGCAGATCCCGCAGGGACTCATTGTAGATCTCCAGGAAACTGGCTGAGAAATGGTACTAAAACCATCTCAGTTGCACCCCAAATCCAGGGGATTCACCCCAAAAACCCCACGATCCCCGTGGTTTCTTGGGAATTACCTGCCAGCCTTTGCCTGCCAGGTCGTGGGTACTCTGGAAGAGGTGCTGGACGGCCCTCGGGATCATCCCGCGGGATTCGGGGGCTCCCGGAGGTTCCGGCCCTTCCATTGTGAAGGTTTTTCCGCTTCCCGTCTGCCCGTAGGCAAAGATGCACACAGGGTAGCCGTCCAGTGCAGACTGGGAATGGGAATGGTGGGAAGTTTGGGGGGGATTTGGGGGGAAATTCAGGGGATTTGGGGGATCAGAGAGGATTGGGGAGGAATTTAGGAATTCTAAGGGGGAGTTGGGAATTCTAGGGGGGGTTGCAAAGAGGCTTGATGGGAATTCGGGGGCATTCAGGGGGAAAAATTGGGGGATTCAGGGGGAAAATCAGGGAAATTCAGGGAATTTGGGGGGTCAGATGGAGGATTTGGGAATTCTGAGGGGGGTTTGGGAAGGGGCTTGGGGGATTTGGGGGGATATTCAGGGGATTTGGGAAAATTCGGGGGATTTGGGGGCATATTCAGGGGATTTGGGGGAATTCAGGGGATTTGGGAGAAATTCAGGGGGTTTGGGGGAAATTCAGGGGGAGGATTTGCAAAGAGTTTAGGAATTCTATGGGGGAGTTGGCAATTCCAGAGGGGTTTGGGAAGAGGCTTGATGGGAATTTGGAGGGATTCAGGGGGAAATATGGAGGATTTGGGGGAAATTTAGGGGATTTGGGGGAGTCAGAGGGAGGATTTGGGAATTCTAAGGGGGGTTTGGGGGGATCTGGGGCAAATTGGAGGGAAATCCAGGAAA